ACAAATGAATCAATATGATTGTTCATCCCTGGAAGATCAGAGATCCAGTGAATTTCTAAAATGCCTTATGGGAGAAAGCTGTGCAGATTCAGGACCAGGGATCCTCTCCTACCACAACAATCAGTGATCTGCTCCTTTACCTCCACATTGCGCCTATGCGTGCCAGATTGACTGCCCTGGAATCTGAGCTCTTCCTCCATAAAGCAGGGTCACAGTCAACAGCAGTGCAAACTTCTCTTCCCTGCCAATGTGCCACAACTCTCACTTGGAGGGACCGCATATAAGGGTGACATAATAGCTCTGTTTCTATTCAGTGTTTGGTTTCTTTGTTGTTATTGCCAGCAAAAATCCCAATAGTTGTGCTTTATGAAGTGTGGTCTCTTATCACTGGATGGAACAACTCAGTTCACATAGGCCATCAAATAGTCTTCATGCTGTTACCAATCTCTTCTTTCAAGTAGTTTTTAGAGCAGTCACATTTTGGTTTCTTTCTCTAATTTCTTTTCTTAGCAGCAGAGGCAGATGCAGGAAAGATTGCCCAACCTTTAGCTTTGGGTGCGTTGCAACTATCTGAAAAGATTGCCCAATGTATTAGTCTTGCTTTTCTTCTAAGGAAAGAGAGAAATATGCAAGACTATTTTGGAGATTATTTTTAAAAGGGATAATTTGTGGTGTGAATAAAGAACTCAGTCCGTCTTTGAAATACTGAACAAAATTCACTAGGATATGACAGAACCTGAGTCTGTATTTATAGCTTTGGGCTGAGAGAATTGTGAAAAGACTAGGATTAAATAGAACTATTTTTTTCCTAACTGTAGAAAGAAAATGTCTGCGCAGTTACTTCTGACTGTAGCCCTGAAAATCATTTCTGAATTCCATTGAATAAACAGTCATAAATTTGTAAACCTATTATACTTCTTCTGAACCAAGATTGTGGCAGTCTCTTGATGCGAGGATTGTGTGTTTTCCAACTCTGTATTAAGAGCCTTAGAACAGACACTCTGAGGGGGTGCAGTGGCATGGAATTTAAGAGGTGCAGGATATAATGTGATATTTCTTCCTGTTACTAAGAGTATTTTGGCAAGAGTATACAGGCTGTACAATACGTGCCTTTCAAGACTCTGATAAATGATTAGGTGGATAGTTTAGCCTATTGTTGCCAGTGAGAGCACATATTCAAGGGACTTGTACAGCTAACATATTAATGCCTTAATCTGGCCTGATAGTATAATATAGTTTGACATTTCTTGCATATGTTTTCTATCAGTTTCAAATATTCTCTTTATTCCACCATGACATTATAGACAACTAACCAAAATAAAGAGGAGCAGGAGTTTATTCACCCGTAAACTATATTTTAAAATGTTCTGTATTTTGTTCCAGTTCTTTGATTGAATAACGCAGTGATCCTGAAATTAAGTGATTACTTCACTGGTTTGGTCTGCAGAATTTTCTTTTAGAAAATTTCCTTTGCAGAAAGAACAGGAGTACTTGTGGCACCTTAGAGACTAACAAATTTATTTGAGCATAAGCTTTCGTGGGCTACAGCCCACTTCATCGGATGCATAGAATGGAACACACACAAAGAAGATATTTATACATACAGAGAACATGAAAAGGTGGAAGTAGCCATGCCAACTGTAAGAGGCCAATCAATTGAGATGAGCTATCATCAGCAGGAGAAAAAAAACTTTTGAAGTGATAATCGAGATGACCCATAGAAGGTGTGAGGATACTTAACATGGAGAAATAGATTCAATTAGTGTAATGACCCAACCATTCCCGGTCTCTGTTTAAACCTAAGTTAATTATATCTAATGTGCATATTAATTCAAGTTCAGCAGTCTCTCTTTGGAGTCTGTTTTTGAAGTTTTTTGTTGCAAAATTGCCACCTTCAAATCTGTCACTGAGTGGTTAGAGAGGTTGAAGTGTTCTCCCACTGGTCTTTGAATGTTATGTTTCCTGATGTTAGATTTGTGTCCATTTATTCTTTTGTGTAGAGATTGTCTGGTTTGGCCAATGTATATGGCAGGGGGCATTGCTGGCACATGATGGCATATATCATGTTGGTAGATGTGCAAGTGAATGAGCCCCTGATGGCGTGGCTGATGTGATTAGGTCCTATGATGGTGTCACTTGAATAGATATGTGGACAGAGTTGGCATCGGGCTTTGTTGCAAGGATAGGTTCCTGGGTTAGTGTTTATGTTGTATGGTGTGCGGTTGCTGGTGAGTATTTGCTTCAGGTTGGGAGGCTGTCTGTAAGCGAGGACTGGCCTGTCTCCCAAGATCTGTGAGAGTGAGGGATCATCTTTCAGGATAGGTTGTAGATCTTTGATGATGGGCTGGAGAGGTTTTAGGTGATGGCTAGTGGCGTTCTGTTATTTTCTTTGTTGGGCCTGTCCTGTAGTAGGTGACTTCTGGGTAGTCTTCTGGCTCTGTCAATCTGTTTTTTCACTTCAGCAGGTGGGTATTGTAGTTTTAAGAATGCTTGATAGAGATCTTGTAGGTGTTTATCTCTGTCGGAGGGATTGGAGCAAATGCGGTTGTATCTTAGAGCTTGGCTGTAGACAATGGATTGTGTGTTGTGTTCTGGATGGAAGCTGGAGGCTTGTAGGTAAGTATAGCGGTCAGTAGGTTTCCGGTATAGGGTGGTGTTTATGTGACCATCGCTTATTAGCACAGTAGTGTCTAGGAAATGGACTGCTTGTGTAGATTGGTCTAGGCTGAGATTGATGGTGGGATGGAAATTGTTAAAATCATGGTGGAATTCCTCGAGGGCTTCTTTTCCATGTGTCCAGATGATGAAGATGTCATCAATGTAGTGCAAGTAGAGTAGGGGCGTTAGGGGACGAGAGCTAAGGAAGCGTTGTTCTAAGTCAGCCATAAAAATGTTGGCATACTGTGGGGCCATGCGGGTACCCATAGCAGTGCCGCTGACTTGAAGGTATATATTGTCCCCAAATGTGAAATAGTTGTGGGTGAGGACAAAGTCACAAAGTTCAGCCACCAGGTTTGCTGTGATATTATCAGGGATACTATTCCTGATGGCTTGTAGTCCATCTTTGTGTGGAATGTTGGTGTAGAGGGCTTCTACATCCATAGTGGCCAGGATGGCGTTTTCTGGAAGATCACCGATGAATTGTAGTTTCCTCAGGAAGTCAGTGGTGTCTCGAAGATAGCTGGGAGTGCTGGTAGCGTAGGGCCTGAGGAGAGAGTCCACATAGCCAGACAATCCTGCTGTTAGGGTGTACAATGTTGTACAATTGTTAGGGTGTACAATGCTTGGGATGATGGGGCACCCAGGATTTCCAGGATTATGGATCTTGGGTAGCAAATAGAATACATCTGGTCGGGGTTCTAGGCATGTGTCTGTATGGATCTGTTCCTGTGCATTTTCAGGGAGTTTCTTGAGCAGATGGTGTAGTTTCTTTTGGTAATCATCAGTGGGATCAGAGGATAATGGCCTGTAGAATGTGGAGTTAGAGAGCTGCCTAGCAGCCTCTTGTTCATATTCCAACTTATTCATGATGACGACAGCACCTCCTTTGTCAGCCTTTGCAGAGTTATCTTGGCTGTTGAAGAAACCATGGCTTCTAATTTTGGAAATACTGGTACAAAACACCTGATGTGTGCATGCCTATGCTTGGTGCATGTGAACCCCGAACTTGTGTGTGTGAATCAGGTGTTTTCACCCCTACTTCTTTGTGTGCATCATGTACAGACTTTTAAAAATCTAACTTTATCTGAATTGATACTGGCTTTGTGAGTTGAAGATGTGTGCATGGGCAGGGAGAAGTAATACACAGGTAGCAATTTTCAGGAGAAATGTTTCAATAACTAGAATATCATATTTTAGTGCTGATATTTTGTATAAATACACCCCACCTTTGCATAATGGATTATATTTAATGGCCAAAACTTAATCATTTTTGACCTTCAAAAGAATTCTGTTGGCCAGGTTTTGCCTTTAGGCACAGCCTTGTATAAGCTGTTCACCTGTATACTGCCCTAGGAGGAGCCCAAAGTTCTTTCCCTGCTCCCCACTTATTTCCAAGTGAGAGTAATCTGCTGTAGTATAGCAGTAGCAGATTACTACCTTTTGCTCCCATGCTGCTTCAATTTACTGGCTGTAGTGTTGGGGCTTGGGGGGGAGATAGCTCAGTGGTTTGAGCATTGGCCTGCTAAACTCAGCATTGTGAGTTCAATCCTGAAGGGGGCCATTTAGGGATCTGGGTCAAAAATCTGGCTGGGGATTGGTCCTGCTTTGAGCAGGGGGTTGGACTAGATGACCTCCTAAGGCCCCTTCCAACCCTGATATTCTGTGAAAACTGTATCACTCCTCACTCACATGTACAGGGGAGGGGGAACAACCAGGCATGCAGCCCCTTCTCTTTCACTCCATGCCTGGCACAGGGAGGGCAGGGTATATCAACACATAGGGTTAGGGCAGGATCTGGCCCTAAATCATTAGGTATGTTTCTCACATTTTCTTGATAATTGGATAATAGAGTTCCAAAGAAGAGTCAGAGAAGCATCCTCTTAGACACTGTATATTCACAGCATACAAACTTCCACACAAAATACAAAGCCAAACGTCTTTTGACCCACACTGTACCCATAAAACTGTGGGCCTCGCACCACTGCTTCCATACTAAGGATATTACTGGTAAGGTGGAAGTGCTTTGTCAGAGCTGTATGAAGAAGGCTGCCATGGGCTCTATTTTCCCTCCCCTTCCCCCCCATGTTTTACTTTTGTGATCACTGAAAAAGTCTCTTCCCCCCCCCCTCCACCCCCCATTTTACTTTTGTGATCACTGGAAAAGAAAAATTAACTAGTTCTACAATTTGTAGTTTTGGACATTCCATGGCTATTAAATGTATGTAATATCTTTTGTTACTAGAGAAATGTACATGAGCACATATTAGCATGATAAAACAAACTGTAACACACGGGGCATTCCACATCTAATCGCATGTTTGTTTGTTTTCCTGTTTTAGGATAAAGAGGCCCAGAAAGATTTAGAAGCTTTACTTCTAACGCTGCAGCTGTGACAAAAAGCACTTTTAGCTCTTCATGCTGTGATGATATTGTAGAAGAACCATAGAAACTAGTCACTGGGAGTCTGATCCAAAGCTCATTGAAGCTAGTGGAAAGACTACCATTGACTTCAGTCATTTTTGGATCAGGCCCTGTAAGTGGATGGCAATTCGGGTATGAAAATGATGCATTCTATCTTTTTGATTCATAGCTTTATTTTTAATTTTTGGATCTACAGTTTGTTTTAAATTATTTTTGCTGGAAGTATAATCTTTCATTATGAAGTCCACTGCTGGCAATGGACAGCACATAGGCAAGAACGCCAAATGCATTAACTGTGTTCTTGGAATGATTAATCAACTAAACTGCAATGCTAGCACAGGATTATGTGGAGCAATTTATTTGTTTCTACATGAAATTATGTTTCTACCAATTGATCTATATAAATGTATGTGAAGGTACATAATAAACATATGTATGTGTGTTCCTCTGCTCTTATTCACAAGAAATGTATAAGAATGATGGAAGTTAAGGAAAAAGGGATAGTCTTAAAAAACCTATTTTTACTTTAGCCTATTTTTGATGGAAATGTGAAAACTTTATAAATCATGTTTTAAAGTCATATTTTATGTTACTTGAAAGGAAAATATTAAAAATTGGACCAATGAAATGAAATATTGTGGTTAAATCTGTTAGAATTGTGATACATGATCCCCACCAGGTAGATGAATCCTGGTCATTTGTCTTTGAATAATAGCCTGTTGCGGTATTGTCAGTCTGGCTTTGAGAGCCCCTCCCCGCCATGTGTAACATTTGTTGATCTTTCATGTCATTTGTGTAATGTGGCTTATGTATACATATGTAATAACTGCGACATACTTCTTCTGCTTAAGCAAACCGAGAGTTTATGGAATAGCAGGAGTCTAAATAATACAGGAAAGGCAGAGAGATCATTTTGTTTGCTCGGGGTCTGATCCAAAACTCACTGAAGTCATTGAAAAAACTCCATCATGATCTTAATCTGGATTAAAGTATGTGGCCAGAAAAAGAAAACATTCCCATAAATGAAACATAAATACAGGTGAATATATAAGCAAGAGTAGGTGAATATATGAGCAAGAGCAAGCATCATTTCAAACAAAGGGCCATATATTCATCCTTTATGTTTAAAACATCCAGGAAAGGAGCACTGACTTCCCTAGTTTCATGCAATGTTGTTGCAGCCATGTTGGTCCCAGGATATCGGAGAGACAAGGTGGTTGAGGTAACATCTTTTATTGGACCAACTTCTGTTGGTGAAAGATCTGAAGGAGAGCTCTGTGTATTTCAAAAGCTTGTCTCTTTCGCCAACAGAAGTTGGTCCAGTAAAAGATATTACCTTACCCACCTTGGTTCCCTAGTTTCCATCACCTTTAGGGAGCTATTGATTGACTTCATTAACCTCTTGGAACCTTTAGGCAGCGCGGAAGAGACAGAGCCACTACCAATATGTAGCTGTGACCTCTGCTTATCATGCTGACTAGTATCATTGTTTTCTTGTACTCTCCCAATCTGTCTGGATCTCTGTCTCTTTTCTTATGCTTAGATTGTAAGCTCTTTGGGGCAATGATTTTTTTGTTCTGTGTTGTACAGGGCCGAGTTCAGTGCTTTACTGCAATAAAAGTAATAGTCTCAGATATTGCTTGCTGATCTCCATCCTAGTCATGGATCAGGGTTACCTTGCAGTAGGCACTGTCCATTCACATAGTTAGAGGCAGTCCCTGCCTCGAAGAGCTTACAGTCTCAATAATGTTTTGTAATATTAATTTAGTAGTTCATATATCGTATCAACAGTAAGTATGTCATAATGAAAATTTTACATTTAAAGAGCTACCATCTTTCATTCTGCAGAATCCCAAAGTTCTTTACAGAGGTTCACTAAATTCATTAAACCACCACCTCTCAAAGCAATGTAGAAGCTGTTCAAAAGCACTAGGTGACAAAATAGTTTAGTAAAAGAAGTGAAAACTCCTATATCCAATTGAATATATTTTTTAAAACTCTTGTAATATTAAAAATGTCACCAAAAATATAGCTACCAGAGGAATGTAGGTAGACCTGGATTTACTATCTATCTACCTACTTCTGTCTCTATATAGATCTTTGCATTTTTTACTTCTGCCCCTTACCATTGTATCTGAACATCTTCCATGTAAAGTTGTTAGAACCAGTGAAGTCTCTAGTGAACGTCAGGGAATTTGGGGGATTTACCTACAAAGGAATGTATGTGGTCCTGTGATTTTTAATGGGCACACGAAGTCACGACCTATACTTGAACTCTTATCCAAAACACAGCAACTCCTGGGTACAGTGACCACCAGTGATCTAGTTTTGTGTGATATAAAACCCCAAAATTCTCCAATAAAAACACATAAAAATGCATGGTTTTTTGGTGATTAAAATGAAAGCTGACAGCCAGAGCCCCACCGCCTGGGGCTGACAGCCAGAGCCCAGCCGTCCAAGGCTGAAGTGTCAATTTCCCGTGTTTCGGTGTGTGCACTAGTGGCCTGGTATATGATGATGTTTTTGTCACAAAATGTAAAAACTAAGGATTCTCTGTAAAAATGCAAATTCCACGTTTTTCCATGGCAAACGGATTTATAGGATCCCCTGTGACCATGAATACTGTGCTCCAACATTTATTCAATACCAACCCAGAGGAGAGAGCAGTACCTACTTAATCACCATCATCACTTCCTGCAGCACCTGGATTTTCCTTTATACATAAAGTTATGCTGTGATGTTTTTAGTGCTTTATGTACCACAGATCTTCTCAAGTAGACCTTGAAACAAATCAAACTGCCTATGAGATCATTCCTGGCAGTGTATAAAAAGCAAGCTTTTCTGATCCATTGTCTGTCTGTGTAACCCCTGCATTATGTTAATGGTAAACAAAATACTAGATTGAAGAATGAGAAAAGGTTTTCGTTTCTTTAAAATGTTAGGCCTTTTCAATAAAATGTTTTATTAAATTTCAGTAAACAGACTGAGATTTTGGAACTGTAATAAGAGACAGTGTAGTCCGGGGTAGAGCAATAGACTGGGACTCAGGAGCTCTGGGTTTCATTCCTGGTTCTGTCCATGATCTGCTGGGTGAGTTTAGACAAGTCACCTCATCTCTGTTTCCTTTCCCATTCCTTGTCTGCCTAGATTGTAAGCTGCCTGAGAGAGGGACTGTCTGCTACTCTGTGTTTGTACACCACCTAGCCCAAATGAGGCACTGCTGTCATATAAATAATTTTCACTGGGTACCAATGGGGCTCCGATAGAAAAAATACATTTAAAGGGTTTCAGATGTGAATGGGGATAAACTTTTCCAGTCTAACAAGTAAAGAGAACTGGAGTTGTGGTTTCCAGTTTATAGAAAGAGCTGACCAGTGTGGTGGATAGAATTTCAACACCTGGATGTGTGAGAAAGTCATTCTTCTTCAAATAGTGTCCCTATGGATAGAATCATAGAACTGGAAGGGACCTCGAGAGGTCATCTAGTCCAGTCCCCTGCATTCAAGGCAGGACTAAGTACTACCTAGACCATCCCTAACAGGTGTTTGTCCAACCTATTCTTAAAAATCCCCAATGATGGAGATTCCACCACCTCCATAGACAATTTATTCCAGTGCTTAACCATCCTGGAAGTTAGAAAACTTTTCCTAATGTCCAACCTAAACCTGCCTTGTTGCAATTTAAGCTCATTGCTTTTTGTCCTATCCTCAGAGGTTAAGAAAAACAATATTTCTTCCTCCTCCTTGTAACAACCTTTTATGTACTTGAAAACTGTTATCATGTCCCATCCCATCCCGTCCCCCCCCCCCCGCCAGTCTTCTCTTCTCCAGACTAAACAAACCCAATTTTTTCAATCTTCCCTCATGGGTCATGTTTTTCTAGACCTTTAATCATTTTTGTTGTTCTTCTCTGGATTTTCTCCAATTTGTCCACATCTTTGCTGAAATGTGATGCCCAGAACTGGACACAATACTCCAGTTGAGGCCTAATCAGCACGGAGCAGAGTGGAAGAATTACTGCTCGTGTCTTGCTTACAACACTCCTGCTAATACATCCCAGAATGATGTTTGCTTTTTTTGCAACAGCGTTACACTGTTGACTCATATCTATCTTGTGATCCGCTATGACCCCCAGATCCCTTTCCACAATACTCCTTCCTAGGCAGTCATTTCCCATTTTGTATGAGTGCAACTGATTGTTCCTTCCTAAGTGGAGTACTTTGCATTTGTCCTTCTTGAGTTTCATCCTATTTACTTCAGACCATTTCTCCAGTTTGTCCAGATCATTTTGAATTTTAATCCTATCCTCCAAAGCACTTGCAACCCCTCCCAGCTTGGTATCGTCCACAAACTTTATAAGTGTACTCTCTATGCCATTAGCTAAATCGAGGTGGGCAAACTTTTTGGCCCGAGGGCCACATTTGGGTGGGGAAATTAGATGCAGGGCCATGAATGTGAGGCTGGGGCAGGGAGTTGGAGCGCGGGAGGGAATGTGGGGTGTGGGAGGGGGTGCAGTGTGCAGGAAGGAGCTCGGGGTGTGAGGTGTGGCAGGGGGCTCAGGGCAGGGGATTGGGGTGCGGACTCTGGCCTGGTGCCGCTTACCTTGAGTGGCTCCAGGGTGGCAGTGGCACTAAGGCAGACTCCCTGCCTGCCCTAGGCCTGCGCTGCTCCCAGAAGCTGCCGGCACCACGGTTCTCCATTCCTGGCCAATGGGAGCTGCGGGGGCCTGCAGGTGAGGGCAGCGTGTGGAGCCCTTTGCTTCCCCCTCCCCTCCCCCGATGCCCCAGGGGCCGCAGGAATGTGATGCTGGCCGCTTCTGGGAGCAGCGCGGGGCTGAAAATCGCAAGGGGTGGATTTGGCCTGCAGGACGTAGTTTGCCCACCTCTGAGCTAAATCATTGATGACGATATTGAACAGAACTGGACGCAGAACCGATCCCTGCGGGACCCCACTCATTATGCCCTTCCAGCATGACTGTGAACCACTGATAACTCTCTGGGAACAATTTTCCAACCAGTTATGCACCCACCTTGTAGTAGATCTCTCTAGGTTGTATTTCCCTAGTTTGTTTATAAGAAGGTCATGCAAGACAGTATCAAAAGCCTTACTAAAGTCAAGATACACCACATCTACCACTTCCCCCCATCCACAAGGCTTGTTACCCTGTCAAAGAACGCTAACAGGTTGGTTTGACACAATTTGTTCTTGACAAATCCATGCTGACTGTTATTTATCGCCTTATTATCTTCTAGGTGTTTGCAAATTGATTGCTTAATTATTTGCTCCATTATCTTTCCGGGTACAGAAGTTAAGCTGACTGGTCTGTAATTTCCCAGGTTGTCCTTTTTTCCCTTTTTATAGATGGGCACTATATTTGCCCTTTTCCAGGATGCTCCACTTCAGGTGCATGTATGCGTCTTGAGCCCTTGATCAGAGATTTTTAGCTAGCAGTGCCCATTTGGCCCACACATGCTCCCTTTGCCTCCTTGTGGCAGACAGCAAGGCTATATAGGGGTATGTGGGCGAACCATCCTCAGTTCTTTCTTTACCTCTTCAGCCCAAGCCAGAACACTAGCGTGTCTGCCTATTCATATCCTAATGAACAGGTGTAAGGGGGCTCCCATTTCTGCCCAAAGACTTTCAAAATGGATATTG